GTGTCGTGTCCACTAAGTACCTATCTTATCAGGTCTCTAACAGTCAAGTACATTTACTTATAAGTTATTGACAAAATTGACCATGTCAATACACGAATCATTCATAACTCTGACGTCACTTCGGTGGACTACAGTTATAATATTACTACTCGAAAAGATGTAGTCTATATCTTTAGGAATTATAAAGTGGAATGATTTGTATTTTCGCATGTAACGAATATGCTCAAAAACTGTACCGACTTCAAAAATATCTTTATAAGATACTAGCTTTCGTCCGCGACTACATCCGCGTGGTATTACAAAAAAAAACAATATTATGTAGCCTATGTGTTCCTCCAAACTATTCTCTACCTCTATGCCAAATTTCTTTGAGATCCGTTCAGTAGTTTGGCTACAAACTATAACAAACATCCATACATCCATCCATCCATCTATCTATTTAAACTTTCACATTTATCAATGAAGTATGATTAGAAAAGTAAGTAATCTTTAGAATAACAATAATAAATCGTAACAAATGAACAACGAACAATAACTACTTAATTTTTATTACCTCAAGTACTATGTTTTTAATTTAATTTTTTACGGCAAATGATTACCTGTTTGTAGATAAATTATGAAGGTAATGCAGTTGTCATCCATCAAGGTAAGATACCTTATCCGTCAATATTACTAAGTATGTATGTATAAGTATCGAAACTTGTATTTCTATAAACGTTGACGTATTGAGGAAAGTTTGCAGATATTTCAAGTTGAATTTTCCAGTTTTTTAAATTAATTTTTTTTTAAACCTTTTATGAACCGACCTATAAAACATATCATATTGGCAACACGTAATAATTATGTACACTATATAAATAATTTCATAACATAATATCGGTTTTTTTTCCTTGTTTACATGGAATTTTAAGGAACAGGGGTCTTAAGACCACAAAATATATGACGATACACAGCTTTTTGCGTGTCTTCCAAATTTGAAATGTTTCCAAATTAAAATAGTGTTTTATTTATTTAAATAATATTGCGCATGTTCATGGGCGTCTTTGATCACTTCTGTAGTCTCGCTGCTCGTTCGTCACCCTTTCTTATATGAAAAATTGTTAGCTTATAATTAAACAAAAATGTAGTTTTACAACGGCCAGTGTAAAATCGTTAACGACAAAGTAGCGACATTCAGAGCACGCGACAGGTCAAGGCTTTCATAAGGTTTGCAAGAACCATGCTGCTAGTACTACACTACACATTTACACCAATTGTTATAGCTCTGTATCATTTAAATTAACTTTGATTAACGCTACATTTGACTAAACATTTTCTAGAATTTGCATCTACCATAGTGGGTGTTAGGTTCGATTTCTAAACAATTGAATTTATTACAACTATGTAGTTTGATTTTTCTGTCAATCTTTCTTTTGTCAATAAATACACTATTATTTCTATTCATTTATAAAAGAAAACCAAACCTCTGTTTCATAATATAAAACGAAGTGTTTTATCAGCAAGTTTACAAACAAGCAGAATTAAATATTCAATCTCAAGAACTGGAAAGATTTCCTCTAGAGGTAAATATTAGCGCACTAAACATGCTTTATTTCATACAAGCATTTATTTGTACGGCAAATATAAGTAATGTTTGACATTATAAACGTCGCAATCAAATAAACGACCACATTGAGGTCGACGCCGAGATCTATTAACACTTCGAAGAAATATTGCTCGAAGGAAAACAATCTTTACTAAATAGCACAATGAAAACAAGCTAATTTTTTACATTGCCGTTAGAGTTATTGCTCTGTGTTTGTTTTTGCTATAGAAGCTTGTATACGAAAGACAATGTGCCTTCTGCAGGGAAAAATGGAAAAAAGGGTGACGTTGTATATGACTCTCTTAATACGGCAAAATAAAACGTCAACTTAAAGTTTCTGATGTTTTTCCAAGTTACGAAATATCATTGTAAGTTCAAACAGTGCATGTCGCATCGTCTATTCTATACTAATCTATATATATATTATACTATATATTATAATAAAGCGTAAACACACACTTCTTTGTTGCCTAAGATGTCAGCAATCACAACATGTTTTTGAACAATTCATTCTTTAATAAAAAGCCCTACAATTACGACACGCTTTAGGCTATATATTTTCACGCTATCAAACTTAGGGGTTAATAAATTGGAAAAAACCTCATGTGGGAAATGGACTATAAACTAAAAGCTGCCAATATTAAGTAAACAAGGTTATTATGGTAACGGTATTTTTTAAATTTGCAATTGAGAATTTAACAAATGCAAACAATAAAAGAAACTTTTTATAATTTCATGCGGATGAAGCCGCACGAGAACAGCTAGTCATTAATAAATATTAACTAAAATTTTTAAGAATTGCTTGAGTACACATATTGGTTGTATTATCTCATTATGAAATGCACTTAAAAAGCTATTTAGGGACGACTCATCAGTTTACTTAACAGCCGATGCAATGTTAAGAAACCGATAAGAGCTACTGATATACAAATTACACGAAAAAGGATGACAAAACTAACAAAAACAACTCTAGTAAATAACTCCTTACACATATGCCCGGTTTACATTATGCCAGTCCAGTAGTCGGAATCTGAGTAGGATTACAGCTGGAAAAATATAAGCCTACACTGGATTGTACATATTAGGGTACAGTGTAAGTTCGCACTTTTCCAGTTGTAATCCTAGCTGATTTCAAACATTTAACTGAAATAATGTTTACTGCACTACTCAGAGAGTAGGTGATCCCTAAGGGACACTCAGTGTGTTACATTTGAGAAATCTACACTAAACTGAAGTAACCATAGTCCGCCATTTTGAAATGTTCTAACGCCATGGGTAAATAAAGTTGTATCAAATGTTATACGCAGTACGAGAACATGTAAAGTACGTATTGTAATTACATTATCAGGCGGCGCAGTGCACGTTCGAGCGTACGACGAGTTACACTAAAAATAATTACAAATCCTATCCATTATCAGCGAGTATCGCTCGCACCGTATCACAATTCAAACATAAATCCAGCGATAGTGACATTTTGTGAGATGTCATATCAACTTGTCTCCAAAGTGTATTTATTTCTGATTTCGTTATCAGCTAGAGATAAATTTTTATGACCACAATATCTAAATTTATGTCCACCATTACGATTGTACACAGTTTTACAAGCTTAATCGTTAAATCTAGAGATCTGGCAGCTTTGTAGCCGATTATACCTATACTTTACATGTTATGCATTCATATTTTTTAATGTAACTATTAATTGTAACAGCGTCTTTTACTTCAGCGCCACAGGATAAATAAATTCTTCCGCTATTTATAAAACTATTAAGAAATTTAGTTTCTTAGTTTCTCAAAAGCTGTTGTGTTTACGCTTTAGAATGTTTCTTAACTGATCAAAGGTATAATTGGATTTTGTAAGAATGTTTCAAGAACAACATAAAAAATGTAATCCTATTAGAATGCAAATCTAAAATTGATTATTGAACTTTGATCTTGCCAACATGTAAACCTCTGAAATCGCAAAGTAGGGCATTTTTATTACTATTATAATAAATTGTATAATTCTAATACAGATAAAATAAATCAATTATTAATCTCTAATCAAATTAATCAGACGCTATGGATATAAACAACCAGATATGCGACCATTGTAATTAAAAAAAATATCATAATATTGCCATTAAAATAGTGATGTTTAGTGTTCATTAAATTTAAATAATAGTTTTAATATTATTTATTACCTTCGCAACCTTGTTTAGTAATGTTTCACTCACCATGGGGTAAGTTATATGCATACCTTTGTATAAAACATCCCCTAGGGATGTCGTAAATTCATTAGGGCTGCAATTTAATTAATCTAGAACCGGTGTAATTTTATTTGTAACATAGTTTATATTCAAGTACTGAGAACATGCAATGTCATTAATTTTGTTTTAAACGTCCTAACATGTATGTCCATGTGGAATTGTAAGTAATTGTCTAGTCAAAGGTCCTGATCAATTATGTTGATATTGGACAACAAGTAAATGATCACAAAGACAATTAAAACAAATTATATGATGTAAATGAATACCGGTAGAGGTAGACCTAGTAATACATGGAAAGATTGCGTGAATGGTGACTTGATCAAAAAGGGAGTGTTGACCGAGATGATGGACGATACAATGATGAGCTGACCCTAAGGGAGTAGTACAAGGTCATCCTTTCCCATCATCAACATTATCATCACCATCATCTTCCCCAGATGATAATGGAAATAGATATTTTATAATATAGAAACAATTTTTAGCAATACCGGGATAGTTCTTTTATATTATGTATTTTGTGCAAAAGAAATGTCGAAAGCTAATGATTTCATCTTCCTAAGAATTCGGTTTTGATTTATTAAATAGCTTCGATTAGGAGCCATATTACTAATTGTAAATTCGCTTTTTACAAGAAACTCTACTGACAAGTGTGAACTACCCTCATACTAATGTAAAACAAGTCTTTTGACCTTCTGTTTAAGATTCGGATCATGTTAGCAAATATTATGAAAGTGATAAGATGTCAAATTGCTATCTTTTTACGTTTTTTAAATACCTTAATGCTGTAAATAAATAGTGTTTTGATGTTTAGTAAAATTTTAGTCGGGAATTATTTACTTGGAAATTTTATAACTAACTCCTTTTATTTATTAAAATCTAAGTATGATTAAATACAATAACAAATAGATAAATATGTATACCTATACTGTAATGAATGTAAGAAGTAGGGAGAAAAATAACTCTTTTATGTTTTGGTGATTTTTAATACACATAAAAACACACTTTAAATTAGGGAGTAGTTAATTATTTTTTTTTTTTAAATTTGATTACCACTATAAGATCTTTTTCCTCTTTGAGTAAAAAGAACTTTGTTACCGCGTTGTTAATTGCTGACGTTGCGTTTATTTTATGTCTAGCTGTTGTTATGGTTTGAGGTCATTATTTTGATTCGTTTTTTATTACCTATTCGTGTAACGAGCTCTTTGAATATTTAAAAATTTGGCTGAGTACGCGCCATTGTTCCATATCGTCCAGCTCTTTCTTATGCATGGTCCGTATATGGCGTTATCTTGGTCTGGTACGAGCTAGCGAGGCCGTGGCAAACGCGACGTGCTGGTCGCGCCGCCGATTGGACATTCCGATGAAGTGCGCGCCGCGGAACACTCGCGTCACAATTCTAGTGTATCACGTGTCCGCGTAAATACACTTTTAACTTTCATACTAAATCATAAAGTACCCCACCGTTGCCAATCGAACTGATATTAACAAGAGTGATCAATTTTCAGCATGTGATTTTAATTAATAATTAAGAATTTTCGCTTTATTTGTTTAAAATTTAACGCATTGTATCGCATATGGTTTTATGCGAAATGAGTCAGTGTTCAAAAGATTTAAATTGTTTACAACAACAGCCGAGATTGTGGAATGTCTGCTATTGAGGATCGTGAAATCGGATAGAAAAGTTTTAAAATAGAATGCAACGTTGAAGTTGTCTGTTATGGAATAGGAGTTTTTTAGCATCATATTGTGTTTGAAAACATCTATTTATGTTATGTAAATAGAGCAAACAGTTGTTACCAACATGATTAGCAGCTGGAGTCGGCGACTATTATCAGTGGTGAGCGGAATCGTTGTAATATGCGCGACCGCAACTGCGTACACCACTGCCGCTACGGAAACAGAAACAGGTTTGACTGATTTAATCTATTACGCTATTATTCAAATGATTTCTTTTAATACAAACGATACCTAGTTAGCAGCGTATAACAATCTTCCTAAAACGTCTTTAAAATTGAATGTAGACACTATATTACATGATTAGTAAAAAATTGCACCGTGTTCTTATATCAGTTAAAATTTCAAAGCCATTTCCAAAATAATTAATTCAATAATCAAGCAAGATTTTGTAGCTTTATATACCTATTCTAACACTAATCTTATATAAAAACAAACAGTGTAGTCAGTGGACTATAAATAGACAGATAGGAAACAATACACTTGGTGATGACATTGTTGTCTATAATTTAAATAATTCTGTTTAAACTTTAAGACATTTTGGGTAATGCCTGTGTGCTTGTTGAATGCGGCAACACCATTGGGGCGGCTTTGAAATTATACTGATTTAGTAGTTATAATAAACATAACAATCATGTAACTAAACAGCTTTATCTTCATATTTTCTGTCTTTGCGAATGAACTGACCATTTTAAACAATTGATTATCCAAACTAATTTGTTAATGCTTGCATTTGAATTTGCTGAGATAGGTACTCGATTGCTGTATTTTAGGTCTACCTACGTAGCTTGGGTTAAAAGTTCAGGGCTTTGTTCGTGCTATACAGAACATTGTGTTAACAGTTTGCGCGCACTTTAATAATAGGAAATTGTAAATGAATTCGTAAGTGACTAATCAAAATGTATTGCTATTAATTGAAACCATTCACCAAGTTGAGCTGTCTCGTTCTTGGAATACTTCGTGTATTAATTGTTCTGAATATAAGTTTCATCTGAGGTACTTACCTAGATGTATTGTAATTTGGAGTATAAAGATTGGAAGTTTATTAACAAAAATGTTTTCTCCCGGTTACCGCCATTTTTATGTGTTACAATATTTGAATGTAAATAGACACTGTCAGTCAAACTGTAGTGCCTTTTACGATCTGTTTTGACATTTCAGTCTTTTTAATTTCTACTTATGAGAATCTATGAGTGATGTGGTAGCTATAATTGTTAAATCAACTCTGTGCAAAATAACATTATAAGTAATTTACCTCGTCTGGACTCTGGATTATGAGTCGCCGTAATAAGTGAATCTACATTTGATGTCTGATAAATCGGTACAAGCCAGTAGGATTGAGATATTTGATATCTATCTTGGAGAAGAAAACTCATGGATAATCAATAAGACAAATTTGTCTTTTCCGCACAAATAATATATTACTATTGTTTATAATTCAGAAAATTCATCTGGATACCTTTAATATACGCAAGTGTTTATTTTACTTCCAGTCCTCTTGAAATTGGAAGCCGTCCAAAAATACATTAATAATTCATTCATAATAAATGTATGCTTATTCATAGAAAAGTGTCGATAGTACGATCAAACCCGTTTACAGTGAGAAGGGCATAGATTATAATTTATTATTTACCATTAAATTAAATCCAAACGAAATTCTCACAGTAAGTGTCTATAATTATATTTATAAACGTATTTCGGGAATAAGGAAACGACACACAAACTATCACAATAGATGTACCACAACACTAAGAAGTACAAATGGTTTATACCTACAGATAGGATAAGTCATAACAATAGATAAAATGTCTTGTATTAGCGATTAAACGATTAACGCGCCGAATTTCTTGAAACACCTGTCAAGGTAATAGAAAGTTAATTTAGAAAGATTGCCGAAACATTTAAATAATAATAAAAGAAACCATAGAACGGACTCGGAAGAAATGTAAAAGATTGCTCAAAAGGGCCTTTTACAAAATGATTGATCTGATTATGGTAAAAGCAATTTGCATTTTTTTCCCCTTTTAAAATTTTCTCTTACATGAACTTTTTTACTTCTAACATTTCCTAAAGGAATTAACGGCCTTACGAATAAACGTTTATTTGTAAGGCTGTTAGACTTATCACCAGTAATGAAATATGATTAGTTTGTCTGTTCGACAGTGACATCAGATATCCTGGTTCAAATAACAGTATGCACGATCTAGCACATTTTTTCATCATGAAACATCAATAGTTTAACAACATTAACTATGGACTTCAGATTTGTTAAGATCATTTTAATGAACTAAAATCATATGTCGTTTACATTACGTTATCACAAGCTTTCGCCCGCGACTTCGTACGTGTGGAATTAAAAAAAAACAAACGTAAGTAGCCTAAGAGCTCTTCCAAAATCTCCTCTATATCTACACCAAATTTCATTGAAATCTCTACAGTCGTTTAGGCTACAAACTCTCAAACATCCATCCATTCATCCAAACTTTCGCATTTATAATATTAGTATGAAAAGTTTGACTTCAATAGGTTTTAGGTCTATCGCGTTGTTTATAACCGTATGTAAACAGCGTGACTAGATGTTGATAATGTTTACTCTGAAACATTGTACATTAGGAAAATATTTACTTTCGTAAAAATTTGAGTTTCACTGCTGGGTTTTATAATAGCGTATACGATATAATTAAGTACATTTGTTGCATAATTTATATGAGTAACAAGTTACTCTTGTAGGTATAAGTAAGTTACGGTCCGTCTGGAGTAAAAGTGAATGGCATTCCGAGTCAATGAAGGTGAATCAGTGTGGACGAAATTTCCGAGTCCAATGCAACCGTTTGCCAGCAGCTTCCGAGGCGCCTTGGTAGATGACTCACCGATCGTCTCAGATGAACTAACAATACTTTAGCGAGAACAGTTGTGACTCATTTTACAACACAGAATGTGTTTCGTTCACAAGCAAAACTAGACTAGTTTGGTATGAAAAGTACAATTGAATAAATGTTGATTTACAAATTTATAATTTATTGAAAAAATCTCATGTCGAAAGTTAACAACGTAAATTTATACAGTTTTTAGTATTTATTGTTTATCTTAACTTTGTTTTACGGTGCTACAGTGTATCTTATTATTGGTACTTCCACAAGTCAAGAATGAAAGAGTTTAACTTTCACAAACTAATCAAGACCAAATAAGTTTATCACACTGTATTTTGCGACGGTTCTAGATACGACATTTTATCGATTACAAAATAATAATTGCCAGTTGCCGCCCGGTGTCAACGTATTTAGTTGGAGGTCACGCAACGCCTGTAGTTTTAATGATGATATAAATTTTGGAACAGTTATTTTAGCTGCGCGACAGTTTTATGCTTATACGTTGGAATTATAAATGTTTTGCGTATCGTGAATACAAGGAGACGGAGCATAAATAATTTTGCCTCGTAACTTCCACCGAGTCTACACATCAAAAAAGTTTGTATTCTCTTGGAGAATTGAGTTTTACGGTTGCGATAGTCTAATATAGGAAATATTTATATCTCTGTCTTTATCGTAAAATACGAGCAACAAATAATTTACGTTATTTGTGTTCAGAGAGAAAATAAAGTTTAAAAAATTAAGCGATTAACTTATCTTCCTACGGAGGTCGTTACTCAACACAATATGTACTCTTTGGTCATATCCGTAATATCTGATTCCTCTTACGTATCCTTAATTACACAAACCCGTTAATACTTTCTTCGTAACTAATATAATAAAGTTCCTTATTGTTAAAATAAATTATTGAAAACACCTCACGCAAGAAACTAAGAGTACTCACGTTGTTTATTATTTTTAGTTCAATCTATAAAGCATGTGTTGATATTTTTACGCCCGACGTCATTCTCTGAGTATTCGATAACGTTCGGTTAATTAATAGTTACAGTGAATATCTTAATATTAACTATATGTGTAATTCCTGGAATTAAACATTAGCTTCCTTTACGAACTATGGTCTATTAAATATTCTTATAAGAATTTAATTGTACATTCTTCTATTTATATGACGTTTAATTCTTTAGTACTAAAGGAAGCTGTCAATAGCATTGATTGTATGAATGAAAGGCATTAAATGAAATTATACAATAGAGATGTATACGAGCAGAAATTATCAGACAGAGGCAGGTTACGTATCACAATCAAGGTTTTAAAGAAAACAGTAGATTCATAAAAATGAACCGAAGCTGAATGTTCTCGTAGGTAGTAACCATTCTTGTAACCACTACACTGTGTGTTTATACAAAATTTAATTGAACACAAAGCAGTTCCGAATAACGGATTCGTATAGCGAACAGTGAAAACATACCATTGTGTAAAACCGGTCTCTTTGTCATCGTAACTACGCTTCAAAGCCCGAAATTGTATAGATTTGATAAATGGTACGGCTTTGACAGATGGAGAGTATGAGTTGATTTGATGTCTATAACAATAAATTGAGATGAGTTAGAAAAATGACTTCGTATAGTTAATTTTTATTCTCGAAAATTTCTATTAACGGTATAGGAATTGTCATGTTCATGGACCCATCTCTTACAATTACTGACATTCCGGAAAACCTCAACAACATCAATTAGAAACACGCGTTTATTAAAGTTTATATGAAGTCAATATCGAATTGTGTTTTGCTTTTGCTATTTACCAAAACAAATTATTTATAGGTTGTATCTTTTATGTTCGCTAAATAAAGACTAGTCAAAGTCTACAAATCGTATTCATGACTTTTTAACTTTTAATTAATTTAAGTGACATCACCAGGATCACAAACAGATGTGCCTACAATGTCAGCTGTGGGCATGAGGTTTCAATCGAATTATAAAAAATCAACGTATGACGCAAATTCATATTCTTAAGAGGGACTTATCTATAGGCATTACTGCCTATTGGTGTTATAAGGAAATCCTCGAGTCTTACATGTTCTAGTTATTTTTATGTTATCCTTATAGTAATAGTCAGACAATTTGTCTCGACAAAAGCAAATTATAAAAGATATTTTGTATTCCATGCTGTTGAATTTAAGTTTTACGTAAAAAAAAGAAATAACTTGCATCTATTTGTGTTCGAATTTTTATAATTTGTACACAGTCGTCTGACAGAATGTGGTCCAGAAATATTTTAGTAACCAGATATTTAAAATGGGGTCA